TACAATGGGAATTTCAGACCCCTCCATGATTTCTAAGTGGAAGAACTTGCAAAATCGCAGGGTGTTCAAATACTTCTGTTCCTCACTGTATATATATATAATTTTTTTTGTAATATGGGGTAGCTCTGGAATGACCGCCAGCCAGTTTGGTGAAAGCAAAACAGTTCATTTATTTGGATCAGGGCTAAACAAAAAGACAGTATACTTCAGCCAAAGTCTATAAACAGTCCAAAACCTGGTATCAGAAGCTAAACCACAACCTATCACGGTACCATGCTTTAATTCACTGAGCTCCTGAGAGTGACCCATTCTTTCATAAATGTTTGCAGAAGCAGTCTGCATGCATAGATTTTAGATACCTGTGGCCATGGAGGTGATTGGATCACCTGAATCCAATGATTTGGAGGGGTGTCCCAATACTTTTGGCAATATAGTGTACATATGTCGTATATATATTACTTGCTTGTGCTTTCGAACCTCTTAACATTTGTGGGTTTTTCCCAATTGTAGATATGCAACAGCTTGATTTTGGTCCAAGACTGTTTTCACCTCCAGCTGTGTCGGCCCCATATTGGCATTATATTGTTCATATTTTCAAGAGTAACTATAAGAGTTGGTAAGGTAGAGTAGGACCGGCTAGAGAGGGATCACTAAAAGCAGTTGGCCAGCTTGAACATGTATTGCAATATACTGTATATGTTTATACTTACTGTGCTGTAACCCTTTTGTAAAAAAAAATAAAATAATTATAATATTTTTTTTATTAGATTTATTTAGATTGGTGGCATGACTTTTCCCTCTCTAGAAGCCTTTTCTCCAAACACATTAGAACAGAATCAGCTGAAGGAAAACTCTTCATTACACGGTATTGATGTGATGTTGTGTAGTGGCTTAGAGCCGAAAATGGAATGCAATTTGCATTGATCTGGGCAGTCACCGAGTACAGGAAATCCGTAAATGCAGTATATATTTTCTGCTTACAGGAATGTCACTTGTATCTGCTGCCCCAGTATTTAAAAGAATAAAGGTTTCAGGTTTGCAAAGTCAAAACAGACAACGAAAGTTAACTTGACTATTTTTATTAACAATATTACACTGGGATTTGAATTTGCTAATCCATTTGCAGCAAGTAGGCAGATGCTTCCTGTAGCTATATTTAAAGTAGTGACAAACATAAAATTCTGATTAATATAAGTAGAACAGTCTTTTCCAACATTTTGTTTAATAACTGAATATTAAAACACAGGGGGGTTATTTACTAAAACTGGAGCATGCAAAATCTCGTGCAGCTCTGCATAGAAACTTCCAGGTTTTATTGGCAAGGCTTAATTGAACAAGCTGAATTTAGAAGCTGGTTGGCTACCATGCACTACTGCATCAGATTCTGAGTGCTCCAGGTTTAGTAAATCTCCCCCATTAGCTCTTTTAAGAGGGATGCATAGTTACATAGTTAGTCTGGCTGAAAAAAGACAAAAGTCCATCCAGTTCAACCATTAAAAAAAAAAAAGTTAGAATCCTATACCCACAGTTGATCCAGAGGAAGGCAAAAAGTTCAGCAAAGCATGATCCAATTTGCTGCTACAGGGGAGAAAAATCCTTCCTGATCCCCCGAGAGGCAATCGGATATTCCCTGGATCAACTTTACCTATAAATGTTAGTATTCAGTTATATTCTGTGTATCTAAGAAAGAATCCAGGTCTTTTTTGATGCAATCCACTGAGCTGGCCAGAACCAACACTTGATGGAGTCTATTCCACATTTTCACAGCTCTCACTGTGAAGAAACCTTTCGATGTTTGGAGATTAAATTTCTTTTCCTCCAGATGTAAAGAGTGCCCCCTTGTCCTCTGCGATGACCTCAGGGTGAATAGCTCTACACCGAGTTCACTATTTGAACGACTGATGTATTTATACATGTTGATCATATCCCCCCTTAATCTCCTCTTCTCAAGATGCAAAACATGTTTTCCAATACAACCTCTTATCTGTGCTTTTTCTTTCAGTTTGCCATGATAGCTGCAATCATGGACCCATGTTTGTGTAACTATTGCTCTATTTACATTCATCCTGTGTGAAGTCTGCATTGTAACTGCAGACCAGAACTGAGAACAAAAAATAGGGCACGTACTCCACAAAACTGTGTTATCAGTTCCAGAAGTCATATGATAATTTTTTCTGCAAAGAACTAATTTATTGACTTGAAATCACAAACTGTGGATCTAAGACCTTCTTATATCCCTTCCCATATGATTCCAGCCATCCAGTTGTAGCAGAGAACAAAATGCATATCTAGAATAGCCCCGAGGTCTTCTTTGTTTTTATCTTGGTTTTATTCCAAGTGCTACCTTATTCCAGCACTTTGACTCTCCAACAGTTACATGAGCAGCAGGCAACATAGAAATCCTCATTTGTGAATCCGCCTTTTAAGATTTTAAATTGGTTCTAAAGGTAAAAGATTTTTTTACCTTAATGAATTCTCTGCAGTAAGAGAATTCTGTGTGCAGCTCCCCATCCTTATACTTACCTGAGCCAGATCTGGATCCAGTGATGTGCACAAGAGCAGTGGCTCTCTAGGCTCTCTCCCTCCTCACTGGCTCAGAGACAGCAATTGGTTCCTGCTGCTGTTATTCACAGCCACTGAGAAGGGCGGGGGGAGGCGGGGCCGAGATGGGGCTCGAGGGTGAGCACACATAGCAAGCAGCATGCTGTGGCAGCACTCAGCAGGGGAAGGAGCCAGGAGCACCAGCGGGTGACCAGGAAAAGGAGAATGGGGGGTGCTCTGTGCAAAACCATTGCACAGAGCAGGTAAGTATAACATGCTTTTTTATTTTTAAATAATAAAAAGATTGCCTTTAAAATCATTTTAAATGTGCAGTATATGGATGCCTTTGTTCTTTGTCATGGTCTGCAGTTATAGAGCAGACTGCAAAAGCTAAATATAAATAATATGTTCACACCAGCTCAGGACTGAGATGACAGACCTCATATCACAGTGAAAGAAAAGAGGTAGGAAACTTAAAGCTTTTCCTTAAAGTGTTACAAAACCCTGGACCCTGCATCCAATCTATCTGGTCTCCCCACAGTATACACAACATGGAAGTGCAATTAGTTTAGAAAATATAAACTGCTAAATACCTTTTCTCATCAGCAGTTAGAGCAGTCTTGTGACTTCTATAAGTGTCCAGCTGAGCACTGGTTAAAGCTTGGAGGAGGAGGTTTCATTATGCTCTATGAGGATGCAGAACCCCTGACCTCTGTCTGGACAGTGCTGATTGGCCCTGTGCTGATCACATGCACCCTCCCAAGAAAACAAAAACTCTCCTGCAATACACACTAAACTGAGCATGTGCAGAATGGCTACGGGTTCAGTCTGTCTAATTAGGAGATAAGATATGGGCATTTGCACAAGAGGAAGGGCAGAGAAAACAAGATCAAATGGCCTTCTTACACAATCAGAGGATTAACCCCTTAGGTTCCACAGTGAGTATAACAAGCATGCTTTACTGCATATACAGACTGATTTTACTGTAGTGGGTTTAGTAACACTTTAACTTGTATAGCACATCTATAGAAGAAATTTGCGAGTAAACAGTATATAAACTCAAAGATTTCTATAGAAGTCAGGGCGGGATATACATCTCAGGAGTTTATAAGTACAAATGATCTGGTGTAGCAGAGCCATACAAAGCAGAATGCTTACACTGTAAAGCACAGCACACAGTTAACCCTTTGATTACCCCAGATGTTAACTCCTTCCTGCCCAGTGCCATTTGTACAGTGTCAGTGCTTTTTATTAGCACTGATCACTGTATTGGTGTCACTGGGGATGTCAATCAGAGTTAGTCAGTTCCCCTCCAGTGTCAGAATGCCTGCCACAGTCCCGCTATAAGTCGCTGATCACCGCCATTATTAGTATTAAAAAAAAAAATCCATTATATATCCCACCATTTGTAGACGCTATAACTTTAACATAAACCAAATAATTTACATATATTGGTATTTTTTTTAGCAAAGGCGTTTAGCAAAATACATTTTGGCCTAAATTTATGACAAAATTTGATTTTTAAAATTTTTTTACTGGACATGTTTAATAGCAAAAAGTAAAAAACATGGGTTTTTTTCTCAAAAATTGTCAGTCTTTTTTTTTTATTTATAGCGCAAAAAATAAAAGAGGCAGAGACGATCAAATACCATAGAAAGAAAGCTCCATTTGTGAGAAAAAAGGACATAAATTTCATTTGGGTGCAACACTTTATGACTGCGCAATTGTCAAAGTAATGCAGAGTCATAAGTCCTTCACAGCGTCCAAACTGTGAATATCCCCTATAACCATATGCAGACTCTCCTTTTTCAATATCCTTTAGTGTGCAATTCTCACATCAAAATCTTCATCTTCAACTTCATACCCTTAAAGAGATGCATATAGAAACACATAGTGCATTATCCTTAATAAACTCACAACTATCTTAACCTCCCTAGCGATCTGATTATGTCCATATTTCTGTGCTCAAAGCGGTACATTTTTTTGCATGGAAATATGAATTTTTTTTATAGTAGGCCTGTAATTTTTAGGAATAACTCACTGAAATCTGCCCGAACAAGAGTCTAGTAAACATCCCAGGTAGGATAAAACTTGAAACACGAAATCATAAATTATAATTTAATACATAATCATAAAAAATAATAATATAATAATAAATTTAATTCAATAATGTAATCAAACCAAAAACACTGAAATATGAAATAGAGCACCAAGTTCGCACATCACTGAGCAAAGACGCAAAATCGTTTTCAGTGTCTGATGATGAATTTCCCCACAAATCATTATCACTCAATTCTGCAAGTAGTCCTAATTTACTATCGCTGTTCTCTAGCTGGTCTAAAACCGATTTTTGTTGACCTAAAGGGACGCTTTTTGGACGCCATAGACGTTTCTCAGTTTCCAGGCAGAAAGAACAGTAAAAATGCAGGCAGGGCACAGGACAAAGCACTAGGGACAAAATGTATGTGAAATGGTTTGATACAGTAATGTTTTACTATGTGATTTTAGTGAATGTCACTTTTTGTAATTTTCAAATTTCCCGCCGTTCCGTCCCCCGTACGTCCCGACGCTCCATAGGGGACGGAACCCAGATGACATCCGCCGGATTACATTGCCGGGGACACTGCAGGAGGGACATCGTGGGAGCGCAGGACAAGGTAAGTGATCGAGGGATCGCGGAGCAGTGCTGCATGGTAAGCCCGAGTGTAGCTCGGGGTTACCGCTTTTGGTACTGAAACTTTACCCGGAGCTACACTCGGGAGTACCGCCAGGGAGGTTAAATAAATCATAATAACAAAAATGTGTCAAAATCCGTGCATATCCACTCGGTGTTCACTTCTATTCGCCTGCAATTCTTACTCTTACCCTCTGTCTATTATTAAAACGCCTTGTAACAAGTTCTACAGAAAATTATCTTCAATTCACAGAATAGGGAAAACCTCCCGCGCTGCCACTACAATACTAGGCTAACCCTATGGTCTAAGAAAGCAGCATGCACCCCCAACTATATACCAGATAGTGAAGATGCAACAAAAAAAGGGGGGGGGGGGGTGCTGTGCTAACACATCTAATTAAACTAGAAAAAGTGGGAAAAAAGAATAACCCACAGGGACCGTACCACATGTTAACTACAACTTAAACAGCACAAATACCACAAGTATCCTAACATACGTGAAGATGCCACGAATAAAACAAGTGCTCAACTGGAGACATGTGCCATAATTATAAAGTGAACAGTATATAAGAATAAAATGGTAAAAATAATAATATATAAATAAAAAATCAATATATTAGTAACCCAAAGTGATATATCCCAATGCCAATATAGACGTGGCTAACATGAAGGTCAGGGAAGAATATAAATGGATAATGAGTGAAACATAAACTGAAAAATATAAATGGTATAAAAAATAGCTAAAATTATGCCACAAAAGCGAAAAATGGGCATAAATATCACAAGTGCACTAACATATGTGAAACAACACAGATGGACACAAACTAAAGACACGTACCGTAGTGATAAAAGTGCACTGTACATGAAACCCAAAAGAGATAATGTGAAAGGATGGTAAAAAAATATTAATATGTGAAAAACTGGTATAACAATAAACAATAAAGGAAACACAAAAAGGTGATAAATACCAGTGCAGGACTAAATGGCAAAAATGTCACAAACGAATATAAAGTGAATGAAGGATAAGCACAAAAGACAAACGTCATATAGATAGGCATAAATATTGCCACAAAATGTGAATAAACGCAAAAGATAGTGTAAAAATCCACAATATACTAATGCGTGTAAAGTCCAATATATGACTTCCCAAATAAACTTGATGGGTGATGGTGACAGTGATCAGCTTGACAAGAGATCCACCTTCAGCTAAAATGCCTCCTTACCTCCATGCTGCGACCCCTAGGGGCCAACGTACTTCCAAGGCGCTCAACGCCAAACAGATCAGCATCCAATGGGGGCTTTAATGTACTAATCCAGGAACCATCAACCGTCAGCAGCAGTGGTTGTATCCCCCTCACAGAAAAAAATGCACCGTACAGCCACTCAAACGATCCCAAAAGAGGAGAAAAGGAACACTTCCATAGTGTAGTAATTAATATAATTTAATGAACAGCATATTGCCAAATGCCCACTTACATCAAATACAAGGTAAAAAAGCTCAGAACAGCATGTAACAGTCTGGGTGTACTTGCATGGGTGTAGCAAGATGGCGGGTGCCGTACAGACCGGAACTGACGTCACCATGTTTCCATCCTACGCGTTGCGTCACGTGACTTCCTCAGGCCCTATGGGTTTTTTCTATTTTCACACTTTTCCTAGTTTAATTAGATTTGTTAGCGCAGCACCCCCCCCCCCTTTTGTTGCATCTTCAATTTACAGCTTCCTCTTTCCGTCCTCCCCCTCACAGAAGATGTACCCTCCAGAGAAAGTTATATAACATGGTGTAGTACTATTCCTCAATATTGTGTCCTCGCGTGCTCCACTCTTTATCAAATTGTGACCACCAGTGAATAAGTGATAGAACCACTCCACCACCTCACAGACCATGCACCTTAATGGACTAAATCAGTCAGATAGCATAGGACAGAGACAGCTCTTCCTGACCAAAATTATTCCCATTTTTCAAATGGTAACAATATGTGGGTCAAAATAGATAAACATACAGAGTGAATTACGTTTTAAAACCAACGATTTATTCAAGTAAAAATTCACTTACAAACAAAACAGTGCACATCAGTGTTTGTTCCTCATCCTCAAAGGATCCTTTGACAAAGTCGGAAATGATGAAACGGAAATGATGAAACGCTAAAAATGGCCTGGTCAGGAAGGGGGAAAATCCTCTGGAGGGCAAGTGGTTAAAATAATTCATAGTCTGGGTGGGTCCTAGAAGTAACAGGTTGCACATTCCTTATTCTGTTTGTTATAGATGAGTACTCATATTTCAGCACAGAAATAACTATTAATAAGCTTTACTGTGGGTAGGCAGACACAAATCCCTTTAGTTGTTCCAGATCTGGGGCTATCGGACACTGGACTCCATTCACGAAGCAGTATCTACCGCTTTAAGGAATGTGGTAAAATACCATTTAGCATGTTTTAAGATGCATTCCCAAAAAAAGCTTACAAAATACTTTTCCAAAATATGTGGTATTTATCTCATGAAACCATGCAGTATTCTATCTCATGTGATATCCAGTGGGATGGATACAATGGAGAAGTATTAGAACCCCTGTCAGTTTTTATTGCTAATAAAAGGTAAAATGATTTAAACCACAGAAGTATGCCAAGTCACTAAGTCAGTGTGGTCCCTGCAGCAGATGTATTAATACAAAAGAAGTTAAATTAGTTAAATACAAACTATTTTCTATAAATGTCGAATATTGAATGAGAATAGCAGCAAAAATCACACATATTTAAAGTGCTAGTAAACTCATAACAGTAAAATCAGTCCGTATATGCAGTAAAGCATGCTTGTTATTACTCACTGTGGAACCTAAGGGGTTAATCCTATGTGTCGTGTAAAAATGTTGTTTGATCCTGTCTTCCCTGATCCTCCTCTTTTTCCAGTGTTCCCCTCTTATCTCCTGATAAGACATATCGTGTGGAGTCACTCTGCACATGCTCAGTTTGGTGAGTATTGCTAGAGAGGTTTTTTTTTTTTCTTGGGAGAGTGCATGTGATCAGCACAGGGCCAATCCAGAGGTCAGGGGTTCTGCATCCTCCCAGAGCAGAATGAAAACTCCTCCTACAAGCTTTAACCAGTGCTCAGCTGGACACTGATGGAAGTCACAAGACTGCTCTAACTACTGATGAGAAAAGGTATTTAGCAGTTTATATTTACTAAAATAATTACACTTCCATGTTCTGTGTACTGTGGGAGACCAGATATAGTGAATGCAGGGTCCTAGGTTTAGTACTTTAAATATCCCTGTTTAGAATAAAAAAGACAATGTTGCAGAAGAAGGGTAGTTATATATATATGTGTGTGATTTTTGCTAAAATTTTCATTCAATATTTGTCATTTAGAAAATTATATTTTGTTTTTACGTAAAAGTATAATCAAAGGAAACACTTTTTTTTTCAGTTTTGGATAGTGTGGAGAGGTATTAGAACTCCTATGTTTTTATTACTGTCAATTGCTATTAGGAAGATTCACCCTCACTATTTGTCGTTTTCCATTATCACTGAAAGTGAAATGAAAAGAAAATCAAAAATTTTGGGTTGTCCCCAGAAAAGTAATAGAAGGGAAATTTTCCAATGGGGACACTGGTTCTGGTGACCTGAGGGGCCCCAAGGGATTCCTTTAAGTTTTAGGGATTTCCTCTCACTTCCTGTTTTGGCTATGGGACAGGAAGTGCAGGTAAATCTCCCAGTAGGACACAGATGGCAAAAAAAAAAAAAAACTTACGGGGTATAATCCTTCCTTACTCTATCCAAAATGAAAAAGAAAGTTTTGCCTTTAGTTAAACGTTCAGCAACATTTCTCAACCTTTTCAACCCAGTGGAGCCCCTGAAATAACTTTCCAGTCTCAGGAAACCTCTGATAAAAATGACTGTATCTACAAATCATAATACATTAGTGTGATGGTCAGTGGGAAGAATGCTCCTTACCCTTGTGGTCAATGGGAAGAATTACCCCCTTAGAGATAACTAAAAAGATCAATGATGTCATTGGGAACTTGTCAGTGGGAAGATACCTCAAAAAATTATTGTGAATAAGTAAGGTATCCCCACTACCTATGACATATGTTCTAACAAGGGATTAGACCATTGTGATATGCATGTGCATTGTATTATGTTTGGAGTGATTGGGGTGTTTTTTTTTTTTGTTTGTTTTTGTGTTTGCAGCAAATGATGTATATGCTTGTATATACACAAAAAAGTCTCTGAAAAATCTGGTGAAATGACAGGAGAAAATAGATTTTACCACATGTAATGAGGTGGATGTACTAAATGTAATGGGGTGGATTTACTAAAGTCACATAGACTGTTCACTTTGCAAGTGAAGGTGCTCCAGAGCTTAGTAAATGAGGAGGAGCTCTGCTGACTTCCACCATCCAATCAAGTGAAAGCAAAAATGCTGTTTTTTTTTTTTTTGCATGTGATTGGGTATTCTTTGTAAAGAGATGTTTTACCTCATGTACTCAGCTCTGGAGCAACTTGCAAAGTGCACAGTCGATTTGCTCTAAAGTAGAGCTAAAGCAAACCTTTTCTTTTTTTTCATTTTAGATAGAGTAAGGGAGGGTTATAACCACTGTAAGGTTTTTTTTTTAAATATTTTTTTTTGCCATCTGTGTCCCATTGGGAGATTTACCTTCACTTCCTGTCCCATAGACAAAAACAGCAGGAAATGAAAGGAAATCCCTACAAATTAACCGTTTCAATACCGTGCAATTTTAACCTTCCTGCCCAGGCCATTTTTCAGGTTTCAGCGCTCTCACACTTTGAATGACAATTGCGCAGTCATACAACATTGTACCCAAACTAAAATTTTATCATTTTGACACAACTAGAGCTTTCTTTTGGTGGTATTTAATCACCGCTGGGGTTTTTTTTTTTTTTGCTAAATTTGCCAAAAATTTTGAAAAAAAAAAATTTCTTTGTTTCTGTTATAAAAGTTTACAAATAAATAATTGTTCTTCATAAGATGTATTCTGCTACATGTCTTTGGTAAAATAACCCAAATTAGGATGTATTATTTGTTTGTAGGAAAGTTATAGAGTTCACAAACTATGGTATAGATCTGAATATTGATCAATCCTG